ATGGACGTCAAGGTCGGGGTCAAGGTCAATGGGGTTGAGGGGGCGAGCATCATTATTATTGTCAAAGCCGGAGGATTTGGCAGGTGGGCGAGCGGGTGGGTCAAAGCCATAGATTGCAAATCTTCGGAACATGGTTCCCGTGCCGACGTAGACTGGGCCCTGGATGCCATCGAGGGCGCGCATGTTGCCATCGAAGAAGACGGTATTGTGGTTGGCATAGCGGTCGGAGGGGTCAATGCCTTCGAAGCGCTGGGGGAACTGGATGTAGCAGATGTCCTCCCCGCCCCGGTCCATCATGAAGCACATCCCTTCCCGCACTGCTCGACAGTTGTAGATGTAGTGGTCACAGTCGAGGTTGAGCATGAAGGGACCATTGGAGAGCACTGCAGAACAACGTACCAGTGCGTTCATCGCCCCCGCTTTCTTGTTGTGCTCGTACCCTCTTCGCTTCTCCCGCGACATGTACACAAACATGGGCAGCCGTATGTCCACGTCCGCCAAGTCCAGCTGATGCTCCCCGCCTCCCATCAGCGGGTCACAGCTTGGCGGCTTCAGCATCACCTGCAGTATGCCCGCGTGGTCACCCTTGGCGTGGTCCGCACTCGGCGCTGCCCATGTCCCAGGCCAGTGGCTCCCATCCGCCATCCACGTCGCCTTCCTTACCTGCATCACTTCCCCCGCCCCCTCCCTCATCTGCTTTAGCATCTTCATCTCCTCCCTCGCGTTGAATGCGTCTGACCTCCTCCTGATCGAGTCTGGCAGGCCGTTTATCCTCACCTTGAACTCCTCGTACTCCCTCTTCACCCTCCTCCTATCCTTCACAAAGTCCGTCCGTTTCTTGTTCTTCGTTGGGTCCCCCTTCAGGTTGAAGTAACTCTCTGGATTCCTCGGCTCGATCTCGTGCTTCTTGCAAAATGGCACCCACAGTTCCGCGAAGCTGCACGCCTCCGCCATTGCCTCGAACGTTAGCAGCGCCCCCCCATCGTCTGATATGTAGCATGCCACTTTCTCCACTGGGTAATCCACCGCTAGTATTGACAGGATCGTGTTCGCCGTCACCAGAGGCGGCTCTTTCTCCGGATCTGCCGTCGACACAAAGAAGTCCACCCCAGGCAGGTCCGACCGGCCTGTCGGGTTTGACGGCGATGGCAGCTCAAATTTTTCCCGTAATACCTCCAAGTCTGTGCTACGGTTGCAAGGACTCACCTTCGGGATTTGGTCTAAGATCCATGAGAAGGCGAACCATATTTCACATGTCACTGACATCACCCACAGCCATATTGCGTCATCATTTGGATGTTTTATCCTCCATGTTAAGAAGAAACACAGCACTACCAGCCGAACTGCAATCAGCAACCTGCATATCCATTCAATATTCCTCCGGGCATTAATTAAATCGTTTATTGTACCTGAAATATATATATATATATAATCACATGCTTCATGTACATAATGATAGTATAGTAGAGTTGCATGGGATCGAGGTCAAGAAAAAAACATGTAGAGTGGTCGATCAAAATTTAGCTACGACCCATGACTTAAATCTCATAGCAAGTCACTTTTTTCAAATGATAGCCTTTCTTCCTCATACATCACTCATTCACGTACTAGCTAAAGAAGAATAAATTTCTAAAGAAATTGCTCAAAATTTATATAATAGAATTAAGGGAAAAGGGTCAGATAGGCCCTCGAACTTACATAAAAAGGTCAAATAAGCCCTTATATAGGAGGCTCTGCCCGGCCATAGCCTTTTGGGGCGGTTCCCGGTGGAATTTTTTGATGAATTTTTTTGACCATCTTATTCACTAAGTCTAGTTTAATCATACCAAATTTAAGCTAAAACTTCAATCGGGAAGGCATTTAAATGAATTCTTGAAGATAACTGCGCAGTTATCTTCAAGAATTCATTTGAATGCCTTCCCGATTGAAGTTTTAGCTGAAATTTGGTATGAGTAAACTAGACTTGGTGAATAAGATGTTCCAAAAATTTCATCAAAAAATTCCACCGGGAACCGCCCCAAATGGCGACGGCCGGACCGAGCCTCTTATATGAGGGCTTATTTGACCTTTTTGTGTAAGTTTGAGGGTCTATTTAACCCTTTTCCCTAGAATTAAATATATTTTCTTACCAGCATACTCTGTATAATTTGTACAGTCCTATTAGAAGAATAAAAATTCAAGAATATGGGTCCAATTTTAAGAAGAAAATAATGATACTCATATTTGAAGATTTGTGATAGGAATCAAGCAAGTAATTACCTATATGGGCTGATGATGCTATTTGGAATTGGCAATTTGCGACTGAGTGGCTTCCAAGGTTTATCGGCAGATGTATCCAACATTGCTTTCATTCCATGACCATCGTCCTCTCCATATATGTCGTCGGGAGGCCAATAGGCATTGCCATACCCATAAGTGCCCTGTGTCTCGAACAACCACTTGTTGTGATCGAACTCTCCAGTTTGGTTCCTTTTCATCATCGACATATTATTATCATTATTGTTGTTATTATTATTCCTGGTGTTGTCCCTTTTGGAACCGCCTAGCCCTGGCAAAGACAGTGCTCCTCCTCGAGAATACTCTGGTGCTGCTACATCTTCTTCATACTCCCCAACTTTGTACGGTTCCTTACATCCTGGACACATCCCCGAATCTTTTTGGGCGTCCATGTAACAGTCTCCGCATATTTTGAACCTGATGAAACAACCAAAATTCTGTAATTAGCAAATTTCCCCGAATAGAAATAAAATATGGTCAAAGTTTCCAAATGAGCTCATGTTTTATACTAGTATTCTCTAAATAAGACTTTAAATTAACATTTTTCTCTTGATACTTATAACATAACCCGTCGGATCGCAATGGAGGGCCTATGGGGCATGAGGGGCAAGTGCCCGCTTCCGTTCCTAAAAATACTAGTAGTACACAAGATGATTTCACTTTGACTGTTTTCAGTCCCATACCAAACTTGGATAGTTATAAAATACATAGAGATCAGACATTTACTAGACCATTGTCCCCGCTTCTAATTCGGTTGAATAGTATTAGTTTTTAGATGAATTTTTTATACTCAGATATCGTAGAAACTGCTAGAAAAAACTATAGCTGTGTTGAATAAGAAAAATGCCTTACAATTGAAACCCATGTCCCCAACTAATATTGTAGGGTTTTGATCTTGATTGTTGTTGTATATAACCATTTCAAATAAATTTGTATCAGATTGTTTTTCTATAAAATACGTAGTAAAAGATAAAAATAAGATTATATGAAGTGCTTTGTGGTTATTTTTACATCTTGATTTCTTGAAATGAATTCATCATTTTATCTTTAATTATACATAATTAAAGATAAAATTAACATTTTCCTAATAATATTAAAATTAGTATAAGTAATTGAGTCTTACATATTTAGAAAGCGACAACTACAAGGACATTGTCATAAATTTGGCACAGGTTCACGGGTCACTGTGAATTTGTGTAGAAATGGATTTCGAAAGTTCTTGTCCCGAAAAAATTAGCATAAAGTTGTGATAAGAATTTGTGCCTATGTGTCACAAATTTGTGTCAAATTTAGTATTGGAATATGTTAAATTTGGATATGTGAATTGATATAAGTTGATTACCTGCATTCGCAGGGGGTGACATCATTTCCCCGTTCATCTTTCATGATTTTGCCGTCGCAAGCTGGCATGGCACAAGAGGAGCCCTTGGATCCAGCCATCTGGGGGTGCGTTACATCAGATTCAATGACCTTGTCCATAAGGTGCGCCCGCGTCACGCTATTGAACCCACCTGTGAACAGTGAATTGGACACGTACTGCTCCTCAGCTTTGGCGGCCACCGACGTCGATGGTGTGTCGTCCATTGGCTGGTTATCCGGCGTCGGAGGAATGTGGACTGTGTAATTCATGTAATCGCCGGAGGACAGTTCGCCCGACATGTCCAGGTCTTCCCTTGACAGGCTCACATATCGCCCGCTTGATGTTCTTCGCGCGAATTTCACTGTTTGTCCGCCACCCCCTGTCGTCCGCTGATTATTTCCTTGAGAAGATCTTCCCTCTGGGCTTCGAATGCCTTTCTTCGATGCCATTCTCAACTTTTAATTAATCATAATTAATTGTTTGTGTAATATATACAGCATGCATTGCATGCAAATATTTCATCAAATATGGCATGCATGCATGAAACAAGCTAGCTCACTTATTAATTTGTCCAAGCAGATGTACGTAATTAAGAAGCTAGGCCGCGCCGGCCACTATTTTTTATTTTTGATACCAAAACTAATATGCAGAGGTCGATCATCTGGATGACGTACAACCCCACACCTTATTCTCCTACCCTCTTTGTATGCGAAGCCACTCAAAAACTCGTGAACCTAATTACATTTCATTTAAGAGAATTATGGATGACCATTAACCATATTTAATTTTTATGTTTATACATTTTTTTGGCAAAAAAATGCATCAAATTTATTCAAAAAATATTGAAAAGTACCAACGCTGATGAAGAAAGAAAATTAGAGGTCTAAACAACTAAGCAAGTGAAAAGCAAAACTGCCCAGTAAAGAAAAACGATAATAAATCAAACAAAATACCCATCTTCTCCTGTCTCGACCAATGCATTAGAGAGGTCCAAACAACTCGATCTATTCCCAATATGCTCCTCAACGTTCAAAGTCAGATTCAAAATGACCCTTCGAGATTCGAGAATACTGTTGATCCCTATAAATGAAAAAAAGAGCCCATTGTTGATCCCTTTTTGCTTGAATGCATGCACTCCTTGGAAATGTTTGAAATTCAACTAACGTTATTTTTGGTTCAAGTTGTCGATCTAGCAGCTCCTAATCTATAAACAATCTATATACTAATATGCCATTACATCCAGTGCCGGTCCTACTTAAACTCAGGCCTGAGTCGAGCTTCATAAAATGGGCCCTATACATAGTGTTTGTTTATCATATAAATTCACTAAAATTGAATGAATAAATATCACAAAAATGCAATCTTTCAACAAAAGTCTTCCATTATCCCAAAACGACATTGAATGTATTAAAAAAAATTACTTAAGTAAAACCCGTCGAACAATTTTAGATACATAATTTAGTGGAATCCTCAACAATATATATTGTTAATTTTCTCTACAAATCAGCCTCGAACTAACTTAAAAAGTACAAAACACCCCTTATATAAGAGGTTCTGTCCGACCGTCGCCATTCGGGGTGGTTCCTAGTGTAATTTTTTGATGAAATTTTTTAAGCATCTTTTTCATTAAGTCTAGTTTGTCTATACCGAAGTTCAGCTAAAAATTCAACCAATAGTGCAGTCAAATGATTTTCTGAAATATACTGCGCTGTTTAACTGTGCAGTTATCTTCAAAAATTCATTTGACTGCCTTCCCGATTGCATTTTTACTGAAATTTGGTATGAGTAAGTTAGACTTAATGAAAAAGATGCTAAAAAATTTTCATCAAAAAACTCCACCGGGAACCACCCCAAATGGCGACAGACTTGGAAAATACATAGGTATAATAATAGTAATCCTTACAAAGTTGTGGGCCCCTAATTTTTTCAATTTTTTGGGGCCCTGAGGCTTGGGCCTCTCCAGCCTAACATAAGGCACGGGCCTGATTACATCACCCTCCACATTAGAGCCTCAAGTGGCCAAGCGGTAGATTGAGTATGCTCTACACGGGATGACGGGAAGCTTGAAGAGGTGATTCTTCAGTATGCTCTACACGGGATGACGGGAAGCTTGAAGAGGTGATTCTTCACTGATTTCATTTCTACCACCAGTACACATTAACGGGTCCTCATGCTCCTCATTCTGCTTGTATAATACTACCCCTGTCCAAAAAATTGTTATTTCATAAAATTTGAGTCATGATTTTAATTAGTATAATATTATGTAAATTATAAATTTTATACTTTTATGAAAGTACTTTGAACAAAAAACATTTTCATAAAATTTTTATATTATAAATAATTTCCATTAAAAATATATAGTTGGTCAAAATTACAAAAATGTCAAAGTTTTTTGAGACAGAGGTAGTACGTTGATGTTGCTGGAAGGGACATCAAGGCTAGAAGAAAAACCCTTGTCAATTCCCTGGTCAACCGAACCTCCATATCGAGAGCCAATCCACCGCCCAACATGAAGTCATTTTAGTACAACATCGTCGAATCCATTGGCCAAAATTTATTCTCATTTCTCATATTAGTACAACATGTTTTAATATTTTAGTGCAATACGTTCTCACATCATCGAATCTACATTCTACGATCTCACATTTGTATAACATTTTTTCACTTTGTCGAATCTTTTAGTGCAACATGAAGGTGTAACTTTAGACTTGTGAAAGTATATTAGAATATACTTTAGAATATGCTTTAGAATATATTTGGAATATACCATATATAGTATTATTGTATAGCATCTTGTATATGAATATTCTATCTTTGTAATCTATATTTATAGGGCCTTACTCTTCAATGAAATATACAGAAGATCCTTCTATCCATCTTTAATATCATTCTAGTTTATATTTCAACATGGTATCAGAGCCTTCCATTTTAGTTTAGTTTTTTCCAGATTTCAGTTAATTTTCAGATTGGATTCTTCCTTGAGTTCAGTCTTCAGAACCTTCGACACCAGTCTGTCTCTAAATTCTTTCTTCAAGATTTCAGCTTTCTGATTCTTGAGGAACTTGAGTTCAGTTTTTCAGATTCTTCAGAACCTCTAAATTTCCCAGAAAGTCAATTATCACAGTCTGCCCCCAGACCTCACAAATTTCAGACCACACATTTCATCACCACCGTACCCAGGTGGTGCGGCTACCTCCGACGACACAGAAACAAAAGTCCGACACCCATACTCTAGGCGAGTGAGCCGCACGCGCCGCCACAGCACGACGAACTTAACTCACGCGCCGGCGGGTCTCGTCTGTTCTCCGGCCAGATTTCCGATCAAAAACCACCCATCAGCTCGCCTGCGTATGGCCTCTCTTTTGTGGTCGCTCGTTTCGTCCTGGTAAGCATTAGTTCCTGCCTCGATAGCCTTGTTGCGTAAAAGTCAACACAAACTCGCGAGGAACACACCCGGTTGCTTTGTCACAATCTTCTAGCAGATTGTCAAGGGAGGAGAATATTTGTTTTCTTTGCCTAAACCGAAGGAATAGTTCGACGTGGTAACCTCGGGTGAATATCAGTCAGTTCAACTCAAAATCTGGTGAGACCCGTTGTTATTCTTGCTATGATTTTTTACTGATTACCGTGTGCTTGGAGAATACAGAAGTCCAAGAAGTAAATTGTGGTCACCTTCCGTTCCTTTATTCTGCATCATTTTTTCCAAAATTTGAGCCCACACGTAAAAAGGCTGCTGAAAGTTTCCAATGCAATCTCAGATTTGATTTTATTTAAAAAAAATACAAAAAAGGAACAAAAAAAAATGTTTCGTACAGGTCAATTTGACAGAGGAGTAATATGCAATTACTGCAAGAAGTCCGGTGATAAGTCCGTATTTAGACACGCATTTGATGCGTGTTCGGGTCGGATTTTGATGATTTTCCTGGCTTTAAGGCGTTGCAAGTCTCAATTTTGGCTTAAGTTGTGTTTAGCAGGCGTTGGATCAAGTTTCATTGCATTTGAAGTTGATTTGAAGAAGTTAGAGTCCGGCAATCGGCGCTTGAGAGGCATTCGGGAAGGATTTGAAGGCATTCGAGAAAGATTTGGAAGATTTGGAGGCCACCGGGAGATTCGTGACGAAATTCTGGTAAAGAAAGAGCATTTGGATCGACCTCGTAGGCATCCGAGAGCATTCGGAGCAAGAAAACGAAGGAAAAGTGAAGAATAGGGTCAGGCACGGCCGTGCCTGGAGTTAGGCACGCCGTGCCTGAAGAAGAATTATCTTGGGAGCTACTGGAGGCCAGGCACGATCGTGCCTGGCAGCTAGGCACGCCGTGCCTGGCATATTTCGAAGAACCGAGCTACTGGAGGCCAGGCACGGTCGTGCCTGGCAGCTAGGCACGCCGTGCCTGGACGCGAAATTCGGCCTTCTTCCGTAGGCACGGTCGCAGGCACAGTCGTGCCTGGCACCGTGCCTGACCGCGATTTGTCCTAATTCGACCCGAATTCATTGTTTTCTATAAATAAGGCCTCCATACCCGCTTTTGGGGGTTACGAACTTTGGAGAGAGGCCTAGGGACGAGTTTTACCTGCGTTTTTACGTTGTTTAATCCAAGAACCTGGGATTCTTTGTAAGTTCAATTCTTTAATTAATGACAATTATTTCTATTCATCCCAATTCTTCTGATTCGTCAATTATGAGGCGTGAGTAGTTTAATTAGGGATTTGGGATTGATGAAGGGGTTAATCATGATTGATGGCTAGATTCTTGTCGGTTTAATTGCATGAATGCCGTTTAATTTGTGTTTGAATAATTTAACTGATATCTCTTGTAACCTAGATGCAGGCCCGTGCCTTATGTTAGGCTGGAGAGGCCCAAGCCTCAGGGCCCCAAAAAATTGAAAAAATTAGGGGCCCACAACTTTGTAAGGATTACTATTATTATACCTATGTATTTTCCAAGTCTGTCGCCATTTGGGGTGGTTCCCGGTGGAGTTTTTTGATGAAAATTTTTTAGCATCTTTTTCATTAAGTCTAACTTACTCATACCAAATTTCAGTAAAAATGCAATCGGGAAGGCAGTCAAATGAATTTTTGAAGATAACTGCACAGTTAAACAGCGCAGTATATTTCAGAAAATCATTTGACTGCACTATTGGTTGAATTTTTAGCTGAACTTCGGTATAGACAAACTAGACTTAATGAAAAAGATGCTTAAAAATTTCATCAAAAAATTACACTAGGAACCACCCCGAATGGCGACGGTCGGACAGAACCTCTTATATAAGGGGTGTTTTGTACTTTTTAAGTTAGTTTGAGGCTGATTTGTAGAGAAAATTAACAATATATATTGTTGAGGATTCCACTAAATTATGTATCTAAAATTGTTCGACGGGTTTTACTTAAGTAATTTTTTTTAATACATTCAATGTCGTTTTGGGATAATGGAAGACTTTTGTTGAAAGATTGCATTTTTGTGATATTTATTCATTCAATTTTAGTGAATTTATATGATAAACAAACACTATGTATAGGGCCCATTTTATGAAGCTCGACTCAGGCCTGAGTTTAGGTAGGACCGGCACTGCCTAGATGGCCACTAGAATTACAATTGCTTATAGGATAAATTAAGAGAGATCTAATTTGTTCTAGGACACATTCACACACACTTAATCGTTCGCTAAGAGATTAGTAGCGATTAAGGGGCCGTAAGCTCGTTCGTTTTGGCAATAATTTAGGATCTTGTCGCATAAGAGATCAGCTTGGTCCCCTAAATTATTGTACTCTACGCCACGAGAGCGGTAAGAACTTAGTAATGATTAGCTAAGCTCAATTAAATTAAATTCATGTGATTAGGCCTGTTCTGCCGGAAATCTGGTTAACCCCGGAATCAATTCCTGTTCCCTTCGTCGTTAATTAAGGAAAACCAAATCTTCTTATTCGCTCATTAGCATTAGTTTTAGTTTAATCAATCAACCAATCTCGCACAATTGCATTTTTATTTTATTTATTTCTTTTTAATCGCTAAAGTTTAGTTAATCTTTATTTCCCTTTTGTCCGTCCCTGTGGAGACGATACTCGTACTTTCAACCACTTTACTACATCCTTTTTAAGTGCGAGAAAACACACATCATCCGGACACTTGCTCAAAGATTGTAGAAAGTTGGCATTCAAAAATCAAGGAAATTTGATTGCTCATGTTGCTTCTGCTACCACCTCATCTGATGAATCAGTTGCTATTTCTTCGGATGAATATGCCAAATTTATTTGCTACCAAGAATCTCTAAAGCATTCATCTGTCCCTATCTCGGTAGCCGCGAATTCAGGTATTTCAAACACATGTCTTGTTTTGTCATCCTCGAAATGGGTCATTGACTCAGGTGCCACAGATCATATGACCGGTAATCCTAGTCTATTCTCGTCATTCCATTCATATTTACCTACTTCTAGTGTCACTTTAGCTGATGGATCTACCTCAACCGTTCTTGGATCTGGTACTGTTGTTCCAACTTCTACATTACCATTATCGCCTGTTTTGAGTCTTCCTAATTTTGCATTTAATCTGCTTTCCATCAGTCAAATCACGCGTACTCTTAATTGTTCTGTAACATTTTTCCTGGATATTGTGTGTTTCAGGATATGTTAACGAAGCAGACTATTGGTAAAGGACATGAGTCAACTGGTCTTTATATTTTGGATACATCAATCACAAAAGGTATCTCTTGTCTTGGGGTTGGGACTTTGTTAGATGCTCATTACCGATTAGGACATCCATCTCTCTCATTAATGAAGCAAATAAATCCCCAATTTAATAAGATGACCTCTTTACAATGTGAGTCATGTCAATTTGCGAAACACCATCGTACTAGCTTGAGCCCTCGAGTTAATAAACGAGCAAATGCTCCATTTGACCTTGTTCACTCTGATGTTTGGGGTGCTTGCCCGGTTGTGTCTAAAGCTGGTTTTAAATATTTTGCTACCTTTGTTGATGACTATTCTCGTATGACATGGTTGTATTTCATGAAACGTCGATCTGAGTTGTTCACTCATTTTTCTTCCTTTTATGCTGAAATTAAAACTCAGTTTAACGTTCCTGTTCGGGTGTTAAGAGGAGACAATGCCCAAGAATATCTATCTGCTACATTTAAGTCATTTATGCTTCAACATGGCATTATTCATCAAACTTCATACGTTGACACACCTCCTCAAAATGGAGTTGCAGAACGAAAGAACCGACATCTGTTAGAAACTGCAAGGGCTCTTCTATTCCAAATGAATGTGCCTAAACAGTTTTGGGCAGATGCCGTGTCTACTGCATGTTTTTTGATAAATGGAATGCCATCTTCTGTTTTGAATGGTAAAGCTCCTTATCATTGTCTATTTCCAAACAAAGAGCTTTTTCCTATCCCACCTAAAATATTTGGTTGCACTTGTTTTGTTAGAGATGTTAATTCTCATCTTACAAAGTTAGATCCCAAATCATTAAAATGTATTTTCTTGGGTTATTCTCGAGTCCAAAAGGGGTATAGATGTTTTTGTCCGAGTACTGGTCGGTATCTTGTTTCTATTGATGCATCATTTCATGAAAATACACCCTTTTCATCATCTAAGGCAGATATTCATGAGAGTAATGATGATATACTCATTTACACGATGACTATTCCCGAGTCCACACTTTCGACAAATCTTCCACAAGTTACTGTTCTTGACCCTAGGCCTCCCGTACATTTGGTATACACCCGTCAACACAAAGCACCTGATCACCCTCCACCGGCGATACCTGTGATTACTTATCCTGATACTAGTTCGACTCCGATCTCATGTCCTGAACCAGTACCTGCATCTTCAGATCTTGTCTCCACATCAGATCTTGACCTCCCAATCGCACTACGTAAAGGTACACGATCTTGTACTCATCCTATTTCTTCATTTGTGTCGTACAGTTATCTCCTGCTTCATGTTCTTTTATTGCTTCCATTGATTCTATTTCTGTTCCCAAATCTGTCAAAGAAGCTTTGTCTCATCCTGAATGGCGTCATGCCATGGTAGAGGAAATGAATGCTTTAGATCTTAATGGTACTTGGGATTTGGTTGACTTGCCTACAGGGAAGAAATCTATTGGATGTAAGTGGGTCTTTGCTGTTAAGGTTAACCCAGACGGATCTGTTGCGCGGTTGAAAGCCCGATTAGTTGCGAAGGGTTATGCTCAAACCTATGGTGTTGAATATTCTGACACTTTTTCTCCTGTTGCTAAATTAACATCTGTCAGGTTACTTATTTCACTCGCTGCAACTCAAGATTGGCACTTACATCAGTTGGACATTAAAAATGCATTTTTGCATGGTGACCTTAAGGAAGAAGTCTATATTGAGCAACCTCCGGGATTTGTTGCTCAGGGGGAGTATGGTAAAGTTTGTCGACTTCGCAAATCTCTTTATGGTCTGAAACAGAGTCCTCGTGCATGATTTGGGAAATTCAGTCAATCAATTGAACAATTTGGAATGATAAAAGGCAAATCAGATCACTCTGTCTTTTAAAAACAAACAGAATCAGGTGTCACATTGCTTGTGGTGTATGTTGATGATATTGTGATTACAGGGAGTGATAATGCAGGTATTTTGGCCCTTAAGAATTTTCTGTATAGTCAATTCCAGACGAAAGATCTTGGCTCTTTGAAATACTTTCTGGGAATTGAGATAACACGAAGTAAGAAAGGCATATTTCTATCTCAACGTAAATATGTACTTGACTTACTAGCTGAGACAGGGAAATTAGGGGCAAAATCAAGTACAACACCGATGGTTCCCAACGTGCAACTCACTCAAGAAGGCACACCGTTTGAAGACCCAGAAAGATATAGAAGACTGATTGGAAAGCTTAATTATCTCGCAGTCACTCGTCCAGATATTGCCTATTCTGTGAGTGTAGTGAGTCAATACATGTCATCTCCAACCATTGATCATTGGGCTGCAGTAGAACACATATTATGTTACATAAAGGGTGCACCAGGACGAGGTATTGTTTATCAAAACCATGATCACATGAGAATAGAATGTTTTGCAGATGCTGATTGGGCCGGTTCTAAAGATGATCGAAGATCTACATCTGGTTATTGTGTCTTTGTTGGTGGTAATCTTGTATCTTGGAAGAGTAAGAAGCAGAATGTGGTTTCTCGTTCGAGTGCCGAATCAGAATATCGAGCTATGGCACAATCTGCATGTGAGATCATATGGATAAGCCATTTATTGACCGAGCTCGGATTGAAGACATCAATGCCTGCTAAATTGTGGTGTGATAACCAAGCTGCTATACACATAGCAAACAATCCTGTATTTCCTGAGAGAACAAAGCATATTGAGGTCGATTGTCATTTTATTCGAGAGAAGATACAAAAAGGATTGATCTCTACAGGATATGTGAAGACTGGGGAACAACTTGGAGATCTGTTCACTAAAGCACTAAATGGAATTCGAGTTGGTTATTTATGTAACAAGTTGGGCATGATAAATATCTATGCTCCAACTTGAGGGGGAGTGTGAAAGTATATTAGAAAATTACTTTAGAATATGCTTTAGAATATATTAGGAATATACCATATATAGTATTATTGTATAGCATCTTGTATAGGAATATTCTATCTTTGTAATCTATATTTATAGGTAGGCCTGGACTCGGGCCGGTTCGGGCCCGGTTCGGGCCTGGGCCCGGCCGGGCCTCGGGCCAGGAAATGGGAGGCCCGGGCCCAAACCACCGGTGGCCGGTTCCGGTCCCGGTTCCGGGCCAAACCGGGCCGGGCCGGGCCGAACCGGCCCACTTATTTTTTTTTTTTTTTGTTCTCCTATTTAATCCCCTACCCCTCCCCCTCAACCCCAAACCACCCCAAACCACCTCAAATGGCCCAAAATACCTATTCCAACCCAAAACTTTAAAAAAAATTCAAAAAAAAAAAAATTAAAATCCGGCCCGGACCGGGCCCGAACCGGCCGGGCCGGTTCACCATTTGGAAGGCCCAGGCCCGGAACCGGGAACCACCGGGCCGGTTCGACCCGAACCGCCGGTGGACCGGGCCACCGGGCCGGGCCGGTTGCTACAGTGGCCGGGCCGGTTCCGGGTCGGGCCGCCCGGCCCGAGTCCAGGCCTATTTATAGGGCCTTACCCTTCAATGAAATATACAGAAAATCCTTCTCTCCATCTTTAATATCATTCTAGTTTATATTTCAACAAGACTTATTCTAATAATTTTCAGAGAGTACGCACGTAATCAAACAGCCTTGAAGGACATGGTGCGTTCCTCCCACGAACCACCATTCATAAGCGACCTCTCATAAAATTTGACTTCAGAGCAATTGTCCACTGCCAAAGCTGAGGTGCTTCTTGTTCCATAACACACACCCTACACGCCGCCGCCCAAAACATAAACATCATATATCATTACAGAGAGAGCCAAGCCATGTCGTTATGTATATAGAATGATTAACTGTGCAACAAAAAACAGTGCAGAGAGAGATAAAACCTTAGATCTGTATGCTTCAACAAAAATGGAACTCAAATGAAACTCCAATTCAGGCGAGTAGACCCCAGGAAGCTCGGCGTCTTTTGTCGTGTCTATCATCAATTCTTTTGCCACAGATTCCACAGGAATTTCAGATTCACTGTATTCGTCCAATACCAACTTAAACTTTTTTTGTAGCCGTTGAGCCTTCAACCAAAACAAACACAAACAAAATAAAAAGTGTTTTATAGTGAATGTATGCTCAAGTAATCAAGTATTTTAGGTTCCATTTCAGTCTCATAAAATGACATGGTCTCCTACACTGGCGGAGAAAACAACTCAAAGACCTGACTTTTTCAACTAAATACTACACTAATAGCAAAGAATAACTATTTGAACTACAAGAATAGCTATCTCACCATCATCATAACCACCTTAAGATCCCAACTCGGTGAGGTTGCTGACATTAAGTTTATAGTACCAATCAATCAATATAGAGTATCTCAATGCTGTAAAGTATTTCCATCATTTGCAATGGAGCCAAAGATTCATTCTTTTTTGGCTTGAGAATATGATGGAATAAAGCAAAATGGCTCACTAAAATGTCAGCGCTTCTTTGTTATGAAGCAACAATCAGTCCATGCAATTTTGGACGCGATTTTCACTATGGGTCATCCGGAAATAGTCTCTCTGTGCGTTAGTACAGAGTAAGACTGCGTACATCCGACCCCCCCTTACCCCACCATAGGTGGGAGCCTTTGCGGCACTGGGGTAAATGAAAATGAAAATGAAATGATCTCAACGCTGTAAAGTCATACAAAAACACACACATTGACAATGTTATATAAGGATATTTTTACTTGGACTGTTATCAGTCCCATATGAGACCAAACCAGACTTAAACAGACTAAACCAGACCAGACTTGCGTAGTCATGAAATACACAAAGACCAGACATTTATCAGACCAGACTTAAACAGACCAAACCAACAAATTTCAGTCCAAGTAAAAACATCCTAATAGATGCCTTTATGTTGCAATTCTCTTAAGAAGCAATAGACTGAATAATCTAGTCATTTTATTTATTAAATCTATAAGTAAGTAATTATATATGTAAAATAATTAACCTATAAGTGAATTTGTAGTTGCAATCTATAGTTGCAAAATTTAAAAAATCCTTATCTGACACAAAAATAAATTGCATATTACCTACTCAAAGGTGTTGGACATATGGTGCACTAGGGCACTGCATCATGTATGGTGATGTTAATGATGATACTACAGCAAACATTTGATTAAGAAGAATGTAATTCAATCATTCATTCATTCATTAAAAGCTTAATAATTATTTACCTTGGGCCATGGAGAGTCCAAGGTTGCATTAGTCAAGACATGGATACCAGGTGATACCTCTGTAACTAATACTCCACCTCTTCCCTTTGGTCTATTGGTCATGTAAAGCACAATCATCGAACAGAGATCAACCACCACCAGGTTAAACCCACCAAAAAGGTCAGCTTCTCCCATAAGTTCCTCCGCAAAATCATGAGGGCTCTTATTGCTCTGAGACCACAAACATTACCATCACTTGAACATTAAAAATATAAATTAAGATAATAATAACAATAGTGCAAGCAAACTTTAGAGATTTTAACAAACAAAAACAAAAACAAAGACAAAAAACTTTGCGGAAGCAAAATCAACAGGTTCAAACATGTGTTTGTAGAGAACTGAAACAGTACCTTAGAAAAATTGCAATAGGAAAATTAAGAGCATGTTAGGTAACACTGAAATTGGCTGAGTCGGCTGAATTTGCTTAAATTTTGTAAGTTATGGTTGAATTGGCTGAATTATGGAACAATTATATTTAAAATATATTTTATAAATCAATTTACGGAAAAATTATATGAAAATAACTAAAATGATCTCTATAGTAGCTTCAACAAAGTTAGCCAAATAAATAACTCCAACCTTAATTATGAATCTTAATTTGGCTAACAAGACTGATAAGGTCAAAATTAGGGGTTATCCGACGGGCTCTAAATATCATTAGTGTTTCAATTTTTCATTTACATTTAATTAGTAATATTAGTATTTATATTATGGACATAAGTAAATAAACATAAATGAGTATCAACAATTTTATAGAATAATTTTATTAGAACTATTTTTCATCTATCTTTTGCATTGTTACCTTTACATTTTCCCAGGGACGTCTAATGAATTTGGAGGCCCTGGTTCTAAATGTTAAATCGAGGCCCTACATTAAGTCATTAATATATTCTCTCCGTCTCTTTTTATTTAGCCAAACACCTTTTTCCAAGTCAAAGTTGTTCAACTTTGACCAATAATATATTTATACACAATAAAATTGATAATGTGAAAATTATATGAAAATGTTCTTTGTTAAAAATATACTATCATAAAAGTATAAATTTATTAAGTTTTACATGATATATTAGTTAAGATAATGGATCAAAGTTTATCACCTTTGACTGGAAAAGTCAAAGATAGCTAAATAAAAAGGGACGGAGGTAGTATAAATTTTTAAAATATGTCAATCCAAATACATATATATTCAAATCAATTGAATACTCATTAAAAAGAACTAAATGAGTAAAAGGACCAACGAAAAAAATGATGGTTCTATATTTTTCTTCCTTACTAAACGTATTGTACTAATTAGTATTAATATATAATATTACTCCATACTATATAATACTAAAAGAAATTTAAAATTTTGGGGCCCCATAAATTCGGGGGCCCTGTTCTAGATAACCTATTGAACTCCCTAAAAAACGGCCCTGCATTTTCCTCTAGATAGTCCTTCCTTTTTGTTTCCCTGTTCATTTCTGCTTTCTAAATGAACCTTGAAAGTCCAGTTTTTTATTCCATCTATGAGAAGTTTAAAACAAAAGAGTGATACTTGAAAAACTTTTTAGGCCCCATAGAAGTGTATTCGAAGAAAACCAGACTTTTAGCCGTGGAAAGCAAGGGAAAAACCTAATTTGTTTTTTCACTGCAATATAGCCAAAGGAAATGGATCGTTTTATGCTAGACACGGCAAAACAAAATAAGAAGCTATCAGGATGCTGATGATTGTAAGATGTTGAGAATTGATAGGGGCAATTGGGTGGGTACCTTTAAGAAGCGAAGTGGGAGTTCACCCCTGCTTTTGGATTGAGAAGACGAGAGGTTGAGCTCCTTTTCCCGGACGTTGGTAAGGAAAGCAATTTTCCCCTTGGTACAGCCCAGCCAAGTCCCGCCGGCAACACAGTCTCTTCCCCCAACAATCTCGCCATCCTCCTCCCACCGCCCAAGAGCCTTCGTTGGCCTTATAATCAAGCAAAATCATTAAATTGAGCTCAAGCATAATAATAAGAATCATCATCATCATCATCATAGCAAAATACAAAATGAAGGGAAGTATTGTGCACCGGTCATGGTATTCATCCCGGTTGAGGAACATAAGAAATGGGTAAAGCGGATGAGCTCTCCATTCGAATACAGCAATGCACATCTTGTTAATTTGTCCTATTTACTTGTTAGTCACTTACTCCGTATCTTTTATAGATTTTTAAATAAAAAGATAAGTTCCCAACAACAACAAAATTAAAGATAAGTTTTCACCTTTTCTTAACTTTTTTCTTTCTAAAATATATACTCCCTCCGTCCTAAAAACAAACTCCCATTTTGACTTTTACACAATTTAAGGTAGATTAAATTTTGCCTTTGACTTTCTAAAATTAGCCTTGAGGGCTGCGGCCAGAGCAAATAAAAGGAAGGGGGTAATGAACAGTACTGGGGTGAAAAAATTAAATATCACAACAAGTCATTTCAATAACACTCATTACATATCACATCTAATACTCCTCCGTATTACTGGGAAGACTTTTAAACCATCTTTGCTACACAATCTGATCTTTGCTAAAGACTTTCAACCACAAAAAAACTCCCTCCAACATTTTGGCCAAATAATTTAAACTTCCCTCCCATTACACTCTATTTATATCTACCCTATCTTTCTTCATTTACTCTCATTTACTCTTTCACAACAAGAACAAAATGAGCATTGAAGACCCTCAAGTTCCTGCAACTCCTCATGCCAACCACAACAACACAGCAACCCAGGCACAGGTTTCCATGACTTTAAATGCTCCTGCACCAACCAACAAAAGGAAGAAGTTAACAAATGCAGAGCGGAGACGGATTGTTGAAATTCTCTTAGTAAACTACAATGAGGGGCGACTTCAGTGGGGTATTGTAAAAAGTACAGCATCACAGTTCAACATTTCAAGATGGGCAGTTCGTGAGTTGTGGAAAAGAGCAAAGCAACAAATGGACCAAGGTTTAGCCATTAATGTTCAAAGCCTACAAAAGGGAAATGTAGGCAGAAAAAGGGTAGCAGTTGACTTGGAGAACATAAAGGAAATCCCACTGCACAAGAGAAAGAACATCAGGTCTTTAGGTTTTGCCATGCAAGTTTCAAAGTCAACCGTGCACAGACTAGTGAAAGTTAAGCAAAACAAAAGGCACTCAAATGCAATCAAACCTTTATTGAAAGAGGCAGGCAAGATTAAAAGGTTAGAGTTTTGTTTAGGCCACTTGATAAGTCATAACCCCCCAAGAAATCCCACTTTTCATGATTTTTATGACCATGTTCACATTGATGAAAAGTGGTTTTTCTTATCTAAGGAAACAACCAACTTTTACACTCACCATAGTGAAGAAGATCCATATAGATCTGTCCAGTCCAAGAAATTCATACCCAAAATAATGTTTTTAACTGTTGTGGGTAGACCAAGGTTTGGGGATGCAGGGGATGTCATATGGGATGGGAAAATAGGTATATTTCCTTTCACATTTGAAGAGAAGGCTAAGAGATCAAGTAAGAATAGGCCAGCAGGCACACTAGAGACAAAGCCTATACTAAATGTGACAAGGCCTGTAATCAGAGACATGTTGTTGCAGCAAGTTCTGCCTGCCATCAAAAGGAAATGGCCAGACAGAGTGAACAAAAAAGTAATCATTCAGCAAGACAATGCAACGCCTCATGTGCTTATGACAGATGAAGATTTTCTCACATGTGCAAGTGAAGATGGTTGGGACATACAGTTAAAGTGTCAGCCCCCTAACAGTCCAGACCTAAATGTGCTTGACTTGGGTTTCTTTAGGGCCATTGACTCATTAAAGGAACAACAAGCCCCTAAGTCAATTTCCCAATTAGTAGAAGCTGTAACATTAGCATTTGATATTCTCACACCCAGCACATTAAACAAGGTATTCCTCAGCCTTCAGTATGTTATGGAGGACATACTAAAGCACAAAGGGGGGAACAACTTCAAGCTGAGGCATGTTGGAAAGGAAAAACTTGAAAGACAGGGGTTGCTACCCAAAAATGTGGAAACAAGCCATGCCATAATGAATGAAGCAAAACAAGCACTCATAGAGATGCAAACACTTGAGGCAGAAGCATGACATCAGGGCCATGGAAGTGAGTTCATAAGTGAAGATCAAGTAGATCTTCAACAATGAACTCAGGCACATGGAGGGTAATCTTTTTTGTATGTACTTCCCTTATAGAGATGGGGTACAGTTTTTGTATGTACTGGCATATGTGCCCATAGTACACTATTTTTGTAGTTTCTTACATTCTTGGCATACAAGTATTAAATGTATGGCCACAGTGATTCAAATGTAGAAGAAACATTTAATGTTTTGCATTATCAATCCATCTGAGCACACAAAGGTTGAAAATTTACAAGTGTTTGACAATACACACCCAAAAACCACCCTATGTGCAGTGAAACTTTATTCAGTAAGCCCAAATCATATGCTACACAAAAACATCAATTGCTTGTGCACAGACTTCCCTAAATGGTCTCCAACACTTTGTACAAGTGGGTGACACAAGGAGAGAATAAGCCAAATATCCATAAATTCACAAACTGTCTTCACAATGTTTAGATCATACAAAGCCCCCATCATCATCAATCAAGATACACAGACTACTAGATTTAGGCACACAAGTTCAATAAACGAACACATTGAGTTTACACAATAGAGGGGCATGACAACTTCAATAAACAAACACACTCAGTTTACAAAATAGAGGGGCATCACAAGCTCAATAAACAAACTTCATTCAATAAGCAAACACAATCAGTTCTGCAACTTGAACATTACAAAAGACAGGAGCATATAGTAAAACAGAAGAGATTAGAAGCCTCCCCTATGAGGAATCAGTCCCCCAAGGCATCCACGGCCTTTTACGACAATGGCCAAAGAGGTGGTCTAACTCCTCTGGATACCATCGAGGTTCCGAGTTCACCTCCTCCTCCCCTTCGTCCTCTGAAGCTGGAAAGCCTTCGTAAGTGTCCTCCACGCAGTCAGACCCCCACTTCTTCCGTATGGCCCATCCAGAGTCGGTTTCCGAGGTCCACCCTCGTTGGTCAGACTCTACACCTTCCTCGTCTGAAATAGCTTCTGCTGAGGGTTTGTTCACCATAGCGACAGGGGAATTCGGGTTTGTAGGGAAGCTGTCAATGACAGAAGGAAGCGCGGCATGCATGTTTCGATCTCGGGTTTCATCATCACCGAGGTTTGATTCTGGAACCGCGACATGGTTCTTCAGATCTAGGGTTTCAACATCACGGCGATTTGATTCAGGACCCAGGGTTTCATCATCCCGCGGGAGAATTTGAGGGAGGACAATGATGTTTGTCTTCTCCATGGATGAAAAGGGGGGAGAGTGGAGAGGTGAAGAAGGTTATTGACAGAAGACAGAGAGAGATAATTGCGTGGGGTTGAAAGGAGGGGTCGGAGTAAATGGGGCGCATAATAGGCAGAGGAAGGAGGGATATGAGGAGGGCATTTATGAGTTTTTGCCTTTAAAAACTTTCCTAAAATAGAAACGGGAAGTTAATTTTGGGACGTCCATTTAAGGAAAGTGGGAGTTTGTTTTTGGGACGGAGGGAGTATATCATTAAAATATACTATCCCGTTCATAATTAAACTTTACATTAATTTTACATTATTCACATGTTTTACTTTCATTACGTCCTATTAATTAATGTATTAATCATTTATTTTTAGAAAACATTTATCTAATCATATATTTTCAAAATCTTATTTTTAATATTTTTAATAAAATAATTAAATATACTAATGATTAAAGTTCTGCATCGATAAACGTGAAAAGTTGACTGTTGATGTATTTAACACGAAGGTAGTACATATCATCAAACGATTATTATATAAATATACGGAGTATGTAACAATGTCACATCATAATGGTCTCACAAACTTTTACCATCATTAGATATATTGAGGGATGAATATGGAGATTATTTTAAGAAATGGCGCTCTGAACTTTCACACTTACAAGGTATTTATTTATTTATCTCAAATCATCTTTCTCACTATTTTTATTTAATTTTATCTTTTTCTGTTTCATTAAATTCGTCGCATACAATGCTCGACAATATTGGGATGTTTCATTTTATCAGAATAATTTTATTTTCAAAAAAATTATAGATGTATTTGGTGTCATAGCAAAGATCATAAAAAAATTAATTTGACATTTTTTAGTGGAACATATTTTTGTTAAAATAGGAACTTATAATGTTTTACAAAAATAATAAGTGTTTGCCACATGGGTGAAAATGTGAAAACTATTGGATGGAGCATAAATTTTAAAATTGATTGGAAACGATAGTGCATATTGTGCATTGGCGTGATCGAACTCCTATTAACGTGAACTCATTTGATTTTAATTAAACAAAGGACAAATTAGTCTTATTAGAGTTACATTAACTCATTAAGTAATAATTGTGGTGCGCCAAGCAACATACATTTAATTTCCATTTCAAAAAGTTCACTTTTTGAAAATTTATAACGAGAAGAATTTAATTATATTTTTAAACAAACAAAATTTTAATGTTCATGACACCATGGACTATGACCATAACCCAATTAAAGATCGCACATGTGAATCCCATTATACAAGATTAATAAAAATTAGCCCATTAATCAGGATTAATGAATTAATTAACAAAGTCATCTGAGACTATTAGGGGACCATAACCCGCGAAAGGAATCTGAGCCTGGGTGGGTTTCCAGCGAGGTTGGACTCAACCTAGGGCTTACATGACAAGCTATCAGTTACACATCGCTATTTGGTAGCGGCCGGAACTTAACAGAAGATACGTGGACATAAAAGATTAATAAATGTGGAGTTCAAAAGGTACGCCAGAAGAGTTCCATCATGAGTAGACTATTAAATGTACCGGTTATATGTCCTTAGACGACTGTAGCCCTATGTCTACAAATACTCCATGTGCTTACCCTAAAAGGGATCCACTTTTTCGATTAATAATATTGTCTTACGCTGCCCAAATAAATCGTTTACGTGAAATAACTCTTGTAGTTAAAATTAAACTCCGATTTACGGTGAACACGATGGTCGGATCACACAGTCACAACCGAGCTGGCAGTAACCAAGACGATGCTAGAATGGACCAAGTCGTGATTGAAGACGGAGGATCTCATTCTCAGCTCAAT